ATTCATGTTAATAATTAAAGTTATGTGAGTGGTGTTCATTTGAGAAATCCAATTAAAACAAAAACTACACCTGAATGAATGAAGCTAAGCTGCCTAACTTGTGGGACAGTATGGGCATGAAACACATGTATTGGCGCTACAGTTACCCAGAGCTTTATTTCCTGTTCTGATTATGGGATTTTTCATATTTTTCTGCTGCAGATGGATGAGATTTTAAGGGGAAAAGAGGGGTGAGGCAGGAGCAAGGAGCCTTGTTTGGAAATAGTTCTGGTTTAGTTTGCATTAAAGTAGTGTCACCTAGAGGCTCCAACCAAGAATACAGCCAAGGGGTGCTGGGCACCCTGAGCACACACGTGCCCAGAGGCAGAGCAAGGTGCAGACACAGACAGGTGCCAGCAGGCAAGAACAGATCAGGAGGCCCAGTTTTGGACTGTATTTGGACCATTCTGATTTTTGGCCATGTGTAACTGCAAAGGAGTGAGTAGCCATGTGTAATTGCCTGGGTAGATATCCAACACCTCACTCCTGGTCATCATATGCTCTCCTCTAGATGTCTGTGGGTGACAGAAGAACACATGAGAGAAATGACAGTCAGTGTTACCCTGGCAAATACCTGCCTATCTTGGCATCAGCTGAAGAAGTCACAATAGAGTCAGTAGATTTAAAGGACTGTGTGGACTCTGTGTGTGTCAGCTACCCGTCAGGTGGGATGACTGCACTACAGAAACTAGCCACTGAAAACCCAGTTGTGGTAAGCCTGATCCAGTGCTTGGAGTCAAAAGGTTTTTTGAGAAAACCAATACTTGGTGCTTTTCTGCAGTAGCTGATAGGTTTTCAGTGTTCAAAACAGAGATAAATGCTTTATAAAGGTAGTGCTTTAGACACCTGGCATTCTCAACAAGCAATGTGGAAAATCACTAGGAAGATATAATTTCAGTTTTTACCCTCCTCCACAACACGTAAAGTACTAATGCTTTAGGAATGCATGCTTCACTAAACCATCTGAATCTCTCCTTCCTCAATCTATGAAGACATGTAAACAGAGTATCAGATACACATACAATTGCTTTAATGACAACAAACATATTTAAAATACAGCATTTTCAAATAATGCCACAGATCATATATAAATTACAGTAATTCACTAGTATTAATTTACTATATGGAGCTCACTTTTTATTAAGCAACTTCTGTTAGAATTAACTAACAGTCTATGTCTGACATGAAGTCTGTAACTATTGCAAAGAGGCTGGATATCTGCCTCATTCTGTTTTCCTAGAACTGGGATTAAGAGAAGCTGTTTGGACCTAAGTACCAATGTACCTCTCCGACATGAGTGTTGTATTATTGGTAATTTCTGTACATGTACCAGCAGCTAAGAAGTCCTTCCTTCTCATTCCTTGATTGCAGTTTGACTGCATCATAGTTTGAGAAGTAATTTCTCTCCATCTCTTCATCTTTGCTCTATGGCTTCCTCTGCTGTTTGGCCTTTAATGCTGACCAGTAGTATGTGTAGGTTCATTAACACTATTATAAATTTATTCAATACTCTTTTAGTGGACTCCAGCTGAGCCCAAACTGACTCACTGCCCTCCAGGGTGTAGTGAGAGACTTAATTACCCTTGTACTGTTCAACAGGAACAATGTCATGGGCAGCATTTTGCTGTGTCTGGAGAGGTTGAAGCTTCTGTCTCTATTGGTTGCCATTTTCAAGTTTAAAGAAAGGGATTTCAGGATAATTCACAGCTCTGTATAGTAACAGTGAAAAAACACTGCTCTTTTGCAAATGAGAATTGGATTGGTCACGTTTCATTACAGTACTTACATGGACTTTCCTGTGGTGGGAGTATTCCTTTGGGTTGTCTAAGGACAGAAATGGAAGTTGAAAAAGTAAAGTGGAGGGACAAGTAATCCCTTAGTTGAGTTGCACATGTTTCAGCATCTCCTACTGCTTGAAACCAATGAAGCCTTCATGCAATGGAGGAAGGGTGGGTATTGTATCCAGTATGGCAAAAGTCGTACTCGAACATGCACGTAATTGTTGATGGGCCAGGGTATCATGCTGGGGAATGCAAACCATGAGAATGCCATGTATTTATCATTGGGGTAACTAAAGTGATGTTTGAGTGAAGTGAGGTCTAACACAGAGAGTGTATATATGAAGTTATCTAAGTTAAGTTAATGTTCTGCAAGGCACATCTACCACTATTTCAGTGTCGCCATAATTTCTGAAAGTAACGTCTGCAATTAAAGCTAAGTCATGTGTTCAATAATGTGATAGTCATGTGATTCAATGTGCGCAACAAATATTTCTCAACAAATCTGTACCTGTTCTTTTTTTCTGGCTTTAATGTGTTATGCTGTGTCCTGTGCTGGAGGCTTTCATCATATGTCAACAGTATAGTTTCTTGAGGTGTCACCCATTTAAACTGTAATACAGTAAAAATTGAGTGATTTACTCTTTGTAATTAGATTAAATGATTGTGTAGTCTTTGAGAACCCAGTGCAGCCTTCCACTAAAGAAATGCTCTGACTACCATTGGAAATTATGGACGAATAAGGCATGAAATCTCTCCCGTGTACTGTGAAGGAGAGAAATGGGCAAGGGAAACATGCTTTGGAGGTAAAGAAAGTGAAGAAATAGTTACAGCTTCTTAAGAGCAGGCCAAGGCATTGCTAGCTCAAAGCTTGAGTATGCATACAAATCATATGGCATATTTGCATTAGAAGAACCGTCAGTGGCTCTGTGGTTTGATTCCTGCCTGTCATTACCTTTCCTATTTACTCATGCACCTGCAAAATATTTGCCTTGTCTCTCAGGTTTTACTACCTGTCCACAGCACATCAGAGGGGAATAGTGAGGAATGGCTGCAGTGAGCCCTTTCACTGCTTATATCATGGAGAGAGCTTCTTTGTAGTCATTGAAGTATACAAACACTCATATGTGCCATAAATATCCAAACAAATCATAGAGCAGACATCATCAAAAACAGTCAGAGAAGGAAGTAAAGTAGGAGGCATTGTTCAGAGCAGGAAGAAAGAGGAAGGCTTCATAGCAGTCACAAATTCTGGGTTAGTCATCATTTATCTCGATGCTGGTGGAGGGGACTTGCTGATGCATTGTGACACTTGCAGATATTAGTCACTGAAGCCATTGTCTGAGCCTCTGAATGAGAGGGGCAAGATTTTCAGCCTTCTAAGAGAAAATATGTTAAAGAAGAATGGGCAACAAGGACTTACTAATTGCAAGGTGGTAAATATGCCCTTATTCACACATCATTTTATATGGATGCTGTGAATGTAAATATCACATGTCAAGCATCTTATAAAGAATTACTATTTTTTATTACTTTTCCCTAATTATTAGGGGAAATAATTATTTTCCCTTTGTGTGTGTGTGTGTGTGTGTGTGTGTGTGTGATTTTACTGCTTAATTCAATTTGGGTATTTCGAAACAAATAGGTCAGTACCAATTCACAGTTATGGTCTAATACAATGCTGTTGTGCTGGCACAGCATTATGGAATTTGTTTAAAATTTCCTACTTGTTTGTAAAATGTATTCGCTGTTTCATTTGACCTTACACAGTTGCTGTTGCTGTTACTAGATTGTTTGTTGCTTGGGACATTTTTTATCACGTGTGTGTGCACTTCTTTGTGCAGTGCAATTCCTGTTTCTAAATTATTAACACTAGGTGTAATGAACAGGCTAAAGAATGAACCACATAGGTAGTCCTTGATTTTGGCTCCCAGCACGAAAGGAAGGGAAAGTGGTCCAAGCCTGGAGTACTGTCTGGGGACATGGGAGAGTCAGCTCTCTGGTCTGCCACAGAGCCCTTTTTAGGGCTTGGGCGGGTTGGTTGTCTCAACATGTCTTGTATGAGTTAATTGTGTGGCACTTCATGGTGCAGGCTTTGGAGCACATGGACAGAGTGCTCACAGAGCTTGTATAGATTCTTTAGATGAGGTAGCCCAGTATGTAATTCCAGTGATAGCTGGTAGTCCAGGCAAAAATGCAGATTTTGATAAAAACTACAAGTCAATGGCATTTGAAAAATGAAAGAGCAGTGTGTGTGTGTGTGTGTGTGTGTGTGTACTAAATGGTGTATATATATCTAGATGAGGAAAGATCATGTGTGTGTATCTGTACATATATGCAAATAGAAATCTAATTTCTAGTATGAGAATGAGCAGATTTCAAGTGGCATATATTTTACAGTTATGGGATTAATAGTTACTTTCACTGGAATTAACATATTTCATTAATTACACTTTATGTGTACCTATCCTGTATTAATTTTGAAACTACCAGTGCTTTTGTATGAAAAGAACTGTAAGAAATACTTGCTTGTATCTGTAGACAAAGCTAATGGAAAAACCCAATCCTCTCATCCACATATTTATCTGAAAGATGTGTTGTATATCTGCGGTTGATTTTCTAGAATGCTGATTAGCTAATACAGGCTTTGGCATTGCAGCTTATCCGTCGTGTGGGAGAACACTATCTGAATTTCAATTTCCTTTTCAAAGTAATGATGAACTGTTTTTCCTTTAAAGGCTTTTCTGGCCATTTGGGGACCCAGTGCAGACAGTGGAGCTGCAGTTAGGTCTCAAAATCTAATTGAATTGATACAAGGCAGCTGAAGCAGTGGTTGTTGAAGAGCTTGAGATGGATTGCAAAAAATAAGTGCTTCTGAGCAACTTGTCTAGTGTCCTTGTTTGAAACTCTGCCCTGAGTTTATTTTTGCTTTCACTGGTAACAGACCATTATAGTAAAAGCCCTGTGCTTCAATATAGTTAAGGAATTCATTAGTCCTGTGTGGCTTTTATATGATTATGTTGCTATTAAAGAAACTTTATGCCTCTGAGAGTATCAGGCTAATAATGGAAGGAGGAGTGGAGAGTTAAGGTAATGTCAGGTGTTAATCCTTCTGTTTCTGCTAGCAACTTGCCACTGTTTAAACTTCCAAAATCTCACTACCCCAAATATTTGTTTTTGCAGTGATGGGTCTTTCCCCTACGATTCTGTTCCCTGGCAGCAAAATACCAACCAGCCTCCAGGCTCTTTATCAGTGGTCACCACAGTATGGGGTGTGACTAACACCTCTCAAAGCCAGGTAAGCTTGGTTTTTATGCTCCCTCCCCTCCAGATAAGGTTTTTCACTAATGTTTGCAAAATGGAAAGCTTTTTGGAAAATCCTCTTGGGATCCATGATAGTGTCTGATATTCTCTTTGCTGTAAGTGGTGCCTTTTTTTCCCTGTCCTGTCCTCTTTGGTGGCATTGGAAAGGAGGTGTCTGAGACCTTGAGTCAGTAGCTCCTTTAGCTGCATGCAAATGTCAATCTTGGGTTTAGCATGTATTTTGCACTGTATGCTTTCAACACTAAAAGCATGATTTGGGGGTAATCCCAAACCTTTAGGGAATTTCAGATTGAATTTGAAGAGTTCCTTATTAAATACAAAAATTCTAGCTAGATTCACCAAATGACAGTTATTATTGTTTTTACCTGGGGTTGTGTTGTACTTGTGGACTGGTGAAATCCAGTGCCATGTCTACCTCCACATTGAGGTGCTAACTACCAGCTGTAGGCTGTGCTTTTTTCAGCCTCTTCTGTTAATACTGTCTTATATTTAGCAAAAATACTTCAATATGCATTGGAGAAAAAGCATGAGCTCCTGGCTTCCACGTTAGAGCCATACTTTCTGGATTTTCATTTGGTTCTCTCCAGTCTTATATCTTCTGCAATGTATATTGAATTAGGCTATACAAAAAGAAGCAGCTTTAATGGAGGAAACACCAATGATTTGTGGTAAGTGTGCTCTCCAAGCTATGTAGCACAAATTAAGCTCTCAGACAGTCTAGCCTTTTCTTACACTGTAGTTGACGTGCTCTAAACACATCACCATCTTTAATGAGTGCAAATGGTACATAAATCTAACCTGTATTTTCTACCTTTTTCAAATAAAGTGACATTAGATCCAATACAAAATTTTGTGTGGGTTTTGGTTTTTTTAAAATTAATTTTGGTGAGAAGATTAAAACCAAAATTACTATAGATTGAAACATTTGAAAAAGAAATTATTCAGAGACTAAGTAATATAGGTGCTCACATGGCAGTTATGTAAGCACTCTTTCCTCAAAAAATAGAGAGGAAACAGTTACAGGTTCTATAACATGATTTATTATTGTTGATTTCTTTTTAACACCTTAAAAGAAAAGGTATGCCTTCTGGAAGAGAAACACCTGAGTAAACATGTAGATCTATACATTGGCCAAAAAACAGAAATACAGTTTCTTGTGGAAACCTTTGACACGTAAAAAGGAAAAAAAAAAAAAAAGACTCAAGAGTTTTGTTCTGTAATAAAAACACTGTAATGTTAATTGAACTCTTCATGATACTTCAGAGGAATATGCAATAAAAGAAAAAAAGTGCTTTTGTAGAAAGAAGAAAATGCTTCTTCAGAATCACTGCAAGGGAAGGGTGAAACTTTGGAACGTGAAGCTTGGTTGTAGCAGTTCAAAGCAGATTTAAATGAATGACAAGCTTTCCCGTAAGTCTTCAAGCTCCCTGAGCAAGAGAAATGAGTTGGTCTCACTGGTTTCCTTTCAGAAATTCCCAAAGCTGATGACTTGGTCTTCTGCAAAAACAATGACCACTAAATCTCTTCACAGGTAGAAGACAGGTTTCCGTGCAGGTGATCCGTGATCTCAATGGCAATCATAACAGTTTTGGTTCAGTTGAAAAAAAAAAATGCTTCAGCAAGCAAACCATGTCCTTTTAAAAACAGAACACAGGATTCTTCTAAGAAGCCATATAAATAACTGTCAGACTTCTGTATACTTTAGAGAGAGTTAGATTCAAGAACCGGTTAAGCCACTGAAATTCTTCACAGTTTTTGTGTCTGTAGTACTCTTTGCAGTATGCCAGTGGAACTGCATTATTTGCAAGTTATTTTAAAGTCCTACATCCAAAAAAAAGAAAAAGCATGTACTTAATTGGATGAATTTTTCATCTACAGAGCATGGTTCTTAGCAGGTCTTTACAATAACTTTTTTCATGAGGGTTAGTTTGGGTTCCATCTAGTTAAAAATCTCCTGTGAAAGATAAATAGAGATCAGAAACTCTTTATTTGGAAATGGCAAAAGGAGAAATCACCAGGAAGGTGCATCTAGACAAGGTGTATGCTGATTATAGAGGACAAGGGGGTTATATTTTAACTTATTGATTGCAGGAAAACTTAATTTGGTTGATGTAGTTCAAGGTACAGTCCCTTATTCTCATGTTCCTACTCACAGGTGCTGGGAAATCCAATGGCAAATGCTAACAACCCTATGAACCCAGCAGGAAATCCCATGGCTTCTGGGATGACTACCAGCAACCCTGGAATCAATTCCCCTCAGTTTGCTGGACAGCAGCAACAATTTTCAGCCAAGGCAGGCTCCACTCAGCCGTACATACAGCAGGGCATGTATGGGCGACCCAATTATCCTGGAAGTGGAGGCTTTGGTGGCAGGTAAGATTTACTTGTCTGAGGTGGAAAATGGGTGTAAATAGTTGATGAAACTTTTTTTAGTGACCTGGCAGAAGGGTGATGGGCCTATTTTATTTATATAAAGTCTCAGTAGCTATTTTATGCTGGTTAACTGAAGTGCATACTGCTTTTACAGCTTTGGAAATCAGCTACCCTAAACTGCAATGAAATCCATCACAGTAAATGGAAATGGCTTAGGTCAATCAATTAGCTCTAATAAACCCCCAAAATAAAGTTTTAATTAAGAGAGATTGTTAAACAGACCACAGGCTTAGGAATGATTAACATTTAATAAGGCCAGGATGTGAAAGGTATTGATGGTATAATTTCTACATGTGTATGGAGGAATAAGCTTGAGTATTAGTCAAAGTAGGTTCCTATGTAATGGGATATTTCTGCCCAAAGACTTACTCCACAGCAGGAATCTGAAAAGAATTGGGAGTGAAGATAGTTGTTCAGAGAGATGGTCAAGCTGTGTATTTATTTCAGGGAAGTAAATGCTGGATTAGCAAAATAAGCCAAAGCTAATAGCCTGGGTTTTGTTACATTTTGACTTTCTGTGTCTATGCTTTGTAAACAAGGGTGGTAAGTGCACATAACTGAAACCACTATTTATGGTCCCTCTGCAAAGCTTGCTGAAAAGGCTGTTAGCATAGTCAGTCTAGTGTGAAGAATACAAGCCTGGGACTGAGGGAGTTTTCATCTCTGTCACTGACCTACTGAGTGACCTTGAACAAGTCAGAAGGTTTCTTTAACTTTGTAATAACATCTCTAAAATGGGCATAGTAGGATCACTGGCCCATATTTATAAAGATAGCTGATGTCTTGGAGGGGGAAAGGCATGGTCATGGTTCAGCTTAATTTATCTCATGATCAGTAGGAGAGCCGGGTAGGAACTGCAAAATGCATTGTGTAGGATCCAATAGTGCTGATTGCGCTGCATTTCTCCTGGCCTTTCTGCTAAGGTTTAGGGAGAAATGCCTTTACAACATTGGCAACACTTGGCATAGTTCACCCGTGAGGTAGATGAATGCACTGTAGTGGAGGAAGCTCTGTGTTTATGCTGCTGTGCAGTCTGCCTCTACACTATTGGGAAATGGAGCATGCATTACCTTTCAGGATTTCAGTTCAACTTTGCAGTAAGCTACAGAGCTGCATTAATGCAGTTCACTGCCCCCAAAACAAATGACAGTGGTGCCTTGCAGTCCCAGTGACAGCACCTGAGCAACACTAGTATCTCATATACACACCTAATTCCTTGTCCTGCTGGCTTTCGTTAGGCATTGATATGTGATTTTAGAACAGTTCCAGATGAGGATCACACCAGTGTTCAAAACAAAATCCACCAGGCGTGTCTTAATATTCTCTCTCTCTCTCTCTATCCCCCCTCTTTCTTTCTTTCTTTCTTTCTTTCTTTCTTTCTTTCTTTCTTTCTTTCTTTCTTTCTTTCTTTCTTTCTTTCTTTCTTTCTTTCTTTCTGTCTTTCTGTCTTTCTGTCTGTCTTTCTGTCTTTCTGTCTTTCTGTCTTTCTGTCTTTCTTTCTTTCTGTCTTTCTTTCTTTCTGTCTTTCTTTCTGTCTTTCTGTCTTTTGTTAGTTACCCTGGAGGCCCAAATACCCCTGCAGGAATGGGGATCCCCCCACACACGAGGCCACCAGCTGATTTCACCCAGCCAGCTGCAGCTGCTGCTGCTGCTGCAGTTGCGGCTGCAGCTGCTACAGCAACAGCTACAGCGACAGCCACTGTGGCAGCCCTTCAGGAAACACAGAATAAGGACATGAACCAGTATGGACCGGTAAGAGAGTAACCCTTATATCTTCATACCTGCCTGAGCTGGACAATTACATGGAATTGGGCTGTCCTTCTCATTCCCCACTCCCCTGTTTATTAGGGTGCCTATTTTTTTTTCTTTTTTTTTTTTTTTGTGCATGAGCATGGTTACAAATGCTTGTGAGAAACTGCTGGAATGTGTGTATATAGGTATGAGTCAGTCTCCCATGTTTTTCCTGGCAAATCATGCCTGAGTGTGTCTTGTAGTTTAGAGATTCCCCCTTAAAAAAAAAATGAAAATTACCCCAAATTATGGCTGCATCTGATGTGATCTATTATTGTTGCCTTTGCCAGACCTGTGAACCTCTAAATTTGAGTACCTGCTGAAATGTTCCAGAATCTTGGAATAGGTTTTCTATCACTTGGATAATAGTTTATTTTACCCACTACAGTTGGTTGGTTGGGTTTTTTTTTCCCCTTCAAACAAGGAAGTGACAGTAGAAAAGATATTTGCTTTTTAATAGTGTTGTCTATGAGAACAGCTAGGCGAGACATGCGTTTCTGGTGATCCATACCCTCCAGCATGTCATGACTTCATGTAGTAATTTTTTCTTAAAATAAACAAGGGTTTGATCAGGTTTTTTCCACTTAGCTTTTTTACCTCTCTGAGCTTTGAAGTATATGGCCTTATATGCCAGGTGATATAAAGAAGCGTGTTTTAGAAATTGTAGTCTTGTGCTCTATTTACACAGCCAACTTCCTAACCTGTTATCTTACAGTAATAGACCAGCCAATTTAAACGATTTAATTGTTCACCTTAGACTTCTTTCTCTCTGATGCCTTCTACAATTCTAACTGATTTTTTTATTATAAATCACATCACTGCCCATCAAATGTTGGAGGACATTGAAGGAAAATGCGACATAAATCCTCCCCTTCTTTCCTCCCCCAAAAGCATGTTCAGCTCTCTTCTCCCGTTTTAAATGCATGTTGCATTTTATTCTTTTTTTTTTTCTTCTTCTTCCGTTGAAGGTTTGTTCCTCTTTCCAGATGGGTCCAACTCAGGCTTACAACAACCAGTTTATGAACCAGCCTGGTCCTCGTGGCCCTGCTTCTATGCCAGGCAACATGAACCCAGCAAGCATGGGAGCCGGAATGACACCTTCCAGCATGAGTGGGCCACCCATGGGCATGAACCAGCCTCGGCCTCCTGGAATGAGTCCCTTCAGCACCCATGGGCAGAGGATGCCTCAGCAAGCCTACCCAGGCCCACGCCCCCAGTCTTTGCCTATACAGGGCATAAAGAGACCATACCCAGGGGAGGTAATAAAATAAATTCTATTTTGTTCACACTGTTATTTTGACTGAAAGTTGCAACGTGTTGGGTAATGTGTGGTGTGCATCCCTGTACAATAGGTACATCTTTGTTCCAGGCTTGGTAAGAATACTGCCATTAAAATATGAGCAGCAGCAGCTGTTCCCTTTTAACTTCTAAAGTATTCAGCTTGGCCCTTGCTATGTTAGTCAAGATGACGGTCATTAAATCCAAGAAAGGCCCAAAATTGATAGAGCCCTCAAAATGTCACTTGGAGATTCTCATGCTAGATGGCAAATTCATAGACTTTAAGCAGACTTCCTTCACAGGAGTGTATTTATTTAATGTGACAACTTAAAAGAGATGTTGAAGATGTTGAAATACTTTATTTGAACTCAATGCATATGTGATCTCCATTTTCTTGGATAGTTTTATTGTTCTAAAGAGATATGTTGTATAAACACCAATAGTAATAACATTTATTTTAAAGACCAATTGCTTTCCAAAGTTCTCGAGGGTTGATTTTCATGGGCACCGAGGTGAATATAAATCATGTTGAACTCAAATCCCCTCTGTGTCAGCGTTTATCTAATAGAAGTTTATTTGGAATGTAGTATTTCTGTCTTAAGTTCCCATGCTGTTATGAGAACTGAGTGGCTTTGTAGACAAAATTACATTGCCATTGACTTGTATTATGACATTGGGCAAAACACTTAGGGTCAAAATTTTGAAGAAAACTAGACCAAAGAAGTAGATAGACAAGCTTTTGGATTTTTAAAAAGCACCAGTGTTTTACTATACAAATTGGTGTGAATTGGGCAATAGAAGCTTTTGAGAGTCTCACCAACTCTTTCTCAGCATCTATATGCACCTAAATGTATTTACAAATCTAGTTACCAGTTACTAACTTCAGAGATAATTTCCTGGTAAAATTCTGTATTAAACTGAGACCACAACAATAGCTATAACTCCAGATACAGAGCTTTTTTTATGCTATTGCCCTGACTGTAATAATGGTAGTAAGACTTTATAGAAAACATACAGGAGAGAGTACCATGGTATGGAGAAAATGTAGCAAATATTTATTACTGAGCTACCTTTCTTTCCTGATCTGCAAACTTTTTTTTTTAATTAAAAAAAAAAAAAAAAAGATCAGAAATAAAAGTTATGTGCTTTTGCAGGAGTTGCTTCTCTGGGAAGGCTTTTCACTCTGTAAATACTGCCAAGTACTCCACAATTAATTTAAGAAAACACAGAATGTGGCTTGTTCAGATAATTCTTATCTTCAGATTTCATATTTGAAAGAAGACTGTAAATCACTTCTTGCTGCTTCAGAAGCAGGTTTTTCATTGTAAGTGAATATGATCACGTTCCCAAGAAGTCAGTGCTGAACAGTGACCTAAATGTTTACATGCTTGCTGATCTGGAATTCTGCAGATCCTATAGATGCTGTTTGCTTGGTTGGTTTTTGAAAGCTTTGTTTCTAGAAACTTCTTATTAGTTAATTTTTCAAATTTACATTTTATTACCTTTAAAGTTCCAGTTTTCATGACTTTGACTCCAAAACTGCAGCACAGTACTAGCTAGCACTGGCAAGGTGTTTATGTCTAATAATAGCTTCTCTTCAGCTGTTAGGGTATTGCTGAACACTGTAGCACAGGGCCAGCATAGCAGTTGTGTTGAGAAGACAGACATGGACAACACAGCTTCTGGTTTCTGCCCATTCTGGAATTTTTTTTTTTGTTACTTTTTTTGTACTTCCATTTCTCCATCTGGAAAAGGAGCTCCAGGGATGGAGCTGGTAGCACTTGCAAAAACACAGAGATTTTGCGAGCGTTGCATCTGGTTATAATTCTGGTTTCTTCAAAAACGGTGCCCTTTGACAGCGCTGCAAGGCTTGAGTGTATGTGTGTGTTAAGGTACATGGTTATTCTTATCCCACTTGGTTTGCAGGACTTTTATGCTTTTGAGTGAGCATTCACCTCCACCCATCAGGGCCCTCGTTTAGGCATGTGGCACTAAATTGAGGAGTATTCACCTGGAAGGTTTTTTCGGTAGCTTTGATTCCACTATTGAATGTGTGCTAATAAGCAATTCTAGACAGCTTGCATGAAACGGATCTTTGTCTCCTTTCATCTCTGTCATGAAATAGCCGAATTATGGAAACCAGCAGTATGGACCAAATAGCCAGTTTCCAAACCAACCTGGTCAGTACCCCACTTCCAACCCTCCAAGACCCCTTACGTCTCCCAACTATTCTGGACAGAGGATGCCAAGCCAGCAAAACACAGGGCAGTACCCTCCTCCAACGGTCAACATGGGGCAGTATTACAAGGTAAGAACTTTTAGATTATCTTGTTGCGTTCTGATAGACATTCATGAATGAAGTCACATTAATGACTTCGTAGATACTGCTTTTGTGTAATTAAAGGAAAGAGAAAAAAACACAGTGTTTTTACTAAGTTATAGATATCAGGATCAAGTCAGTCAGCCAAGTTGCATAGGAACTTGAGAGCAGTCCGTAAAGAAAATTGAATGTTACTGCAGCTCATTAGAGGCTTTTACAAGAAAATGTTGGTTTTGATTTAAACATAGCATGTAAAAAGAAGTACCTAATGAATTTCAGGTGTATTATTTTCACCTATTTATGGCACCCTGCAAGAAAACAACTTTGAAAATTTGTAATAAACAAGTTTCGCATTGCAGCATCCCAATTTCAGATCTACAGTTGTCACTGTTGGATTAACCCAGCTCAAACTTAAAAGCTGTTCCAGCTGTAAAATTCATCTTTGAACTGAAGTTTATGTGACTTCCTCTGACCTCTCCCTCCTCTTTTCTCCTTCTTTTCCCTCTGTATTGCTTGTTTTGGGCATGAATTAGGATTGTAAAAATGTTGACTAAAGCCAGTTTTATGGATATATGTTGAGCATTTAGTATTATCCAAGCTGAGTTTGTACTGAGGGCCTGCTGATGTTTGATAGCTTTGAAGTGCGTACAAAATTGACCTTTTGCCCATGAGTACTCTAGTGAGTTTAAAAATGGGGAGGACCATCATTGGTCTGACCTGCTCTTAAAGCATTAGCTGTTGAAGTGTCTGGACTACATTCTGGTCTTGAATGTAGGCTGAAAGAATCCAGGATGCGCATTGGTCTTGAACCAGAATGGTGCAGGTGTGATTCACACAGAAAACACCATTGAAAAAAGCAGAAACACGTTCCCCTGCACCTCTCCCCTTAAACTATAGAGCATCTGTTGTTCTATGTGCAAGCAAGCTGTCTACTGTGGTACCCAACAGAATGCCTGTTGCATCATGGCAGCTTTTGCAGTACACTGCCAAGAGGAGCACGAGGAGGAGACAGATCCTCAACTCCTGTAATTCCAGTGCAGCCACTTCTGCTAAAATAACAGCAGAAGATCTCTGTAAAGTTTTTAAGTAACAGATTTTAAAATACATTTTATGTGTGTTTGTTTTAGATGGGGGTTTAAGTTTTTTGCTTACAGGATAGTTCTAACAGGGAATTTGTGGTCTTTCCAATGCATCCCATATTTTGTATTTAAATATCAACCATTCTGGAAACAGTTAGAAAATAAGAGACCTTGTTAAGAAGGGAGATTATCCTGGCTAGGGGAAAAATTCCAGCTTGCTACAGACAGGACCTGAACCTTTGGATTATAGTGATTGTGGAGATAGTAACTGTAGGTGTTAAAGAAAAAAGCAAAGATGGTTGAAAATGTAAATGCTTAAGATTTCAGAATGCAGCTGTCTTATGTACTTTAGAGTATCCTAGGGTAGCAGTGCAGCATTTATATAGAGAATCAGATCTGAAGTCCTGATACTTTGGCTGTCTGTAAAGATTTTAATCTTCTGACACTCTTGTTGTATGTGCTTATGGTTCATGAGCTATTACAGGAAAGTGCCATGCAATTTCAGTTTTGTTTAATGTCAGCTTCCTGCACATCATCGTTACTGGTTTATTCTATTAACTGCTACCATCGAATTGTAGGTACACAGAATGAAAGACATCCCCTGACCTCCAGAACTTTCATTCTGAGTAGATGAGTTGTACATGGGTAGAAGGATAGATGGAAGTAAAAGGGACACAGACATTCTAATCATGTGGCTTTGTATTTCATTTTTCCTGTAGGCTTTTGCACACTGGGGCTGTTCTGGGAGGAAGCCAGAGATACAGAGTGCTGGGTGGGTTGGGGTGGTGTGGAAAAACTGAAGCGAATGGCTGGTTGATTTTGGAAATAGAGCATTCAGAGGAACTTGCTAAGCCTCTTGGCAGCCTTTCTTGTATCTGGTCATTGCCTGGATTAAGCTGGCTGGTCTGCTGATTTCAGTTCCTGCTTTGTTCTCCTAGTCTGCCTCTTCTCATGGGATGTCCTGTGGTTTCTTGTTCTTCTGGGGCCTCCTGAACTTGTTTGTAGTCTTTGGTGTTTGCTGGCTGTACAGTTCACAAGGCTTATTATTCTTATTTTCAGACCACAATAACAATGTGATGTTATTTATTTTCTAGCCATCAAGGCCTGTACCTGTGGCAAATTACCCTCATTCACCTGTTCCAGGAAACCCCACGCCACCTATGACTCCAGGGAGCAATATTCCTCCGTACCTGTCACCTAACCAGGATGTCAAACCACCATTCCCACCTGATATTAAACCAAATATCAATGCTTTACCACCACCCCCAAGTGAGTAGCAAACAGAATACCCCCACAGTCATTTATTGTCCCTCTCTTCTCTGCCACATACATTTCAGAGTCTGGAAACTAGCTCTGATTGCTGCACTGGGAGAGGCTCGAATTGCTAAATTGTGATAGGTGGCAAGCACAGTGCAGGCTCACTAGAGCCAATGGACAGGAAAGAGAAAGATTGCTATCCCCTTCTAAAATAGAGTATCAGAAAAGTTCTTCCAGGTTAAACTTGTAAGGATTTTACTCCTGAGGTATTGCTGTAATACGCTTCCTGATGATAAAACACATGATTTTGTGTTGTGTTGTGTGCTTGGTAGGCTTGCTTATTGTATGAACTTTCATTGTGGTCTGTTTTGTTCAAGGGCAAAGCCATTCATTGAACATCACTGCAGAATAGCATATAATGTGAATATTTATAGTGGTGTCTCTATTGTGATCCGTACAGGCTAAAGAATATTCAGCAGTATGCCAAAAATTGATATATGTTCCTTTCAAAGCCAGTCAACATCACAGCTACATTTGGCTGGGAACAGGGCAGGAATAACAAGATCTCTCTGGCTGTATACTAGCACAAGACATTTGAGGTTTTGAAGTGACTGATGAACAATAGGAGATATCATTCATTAGGGAACTAGGAGAAGCTTTATGTTTTCTGTAAAATAACTGCTGCTGCTTTAGCACTTTGCAACTGGTACATGGAGTTCAGGACAGCTGAAAAATGAAGTAGAAGAAGGTGGCCTGCAGTATTATTTGGGCAAGAACACAGCATTTAAAGATATTTGGACTTCATAGATTAGCTGTAAGTTACCACAAAACCTCATTTTGTGAGATCAAAGAGTAATTGAATACCGTGTCTTTGGTCATGGGATGGTTTCAGGTGATGAAACTGTTCGAACTAATTGGGTAATGTTGATACCAGTTCAAAGCTGGGAAAATAAGCATTATCACAGTTTGCCATGATTAAGAGATTTGTTGTCAGTCTTCTGCCAACAAAGTAAGCCTGAACATAGAACCTGTCCAGTAAAAAACACAGGAATTCTTGCCATGCCTTGTTTCTGTTTGTGGCCAGAATGCTAAGGCTCTAATGTTAGAGAATAGAAGAATTTGCTTTGTCATCTTTATCAGTTTGAGCCATGTCACTTTTATCAGTTAGATGATGTACTTACTTGTAACTTCCTTTTTTGTGTGTATGAACCTGCTAAGTTAGACCCAGTAGCAGATCACTATGTCATTTGTTACTATTCTGTATAAATATGCACATTATTATTACACTGCAGATGCTAAAGGGAAAGTTCACACTTTCTCTCCCTCTTCGATCCCAGCCAACCACAATGATGAGCTGCGTCTGACGTTTCCTGTGAGAGATGGTGTTGTACTGGAGCCTTTCCGGCTGGAACACAACCTGGCAGTCAGTAACCATGTCTTTCACTTACGGCCAACTGTTCATCAGACACTGATGTGGAGGTAAGCTCAGCCTTGCTGCCAGGAAGTCTTGCACCTAGTGATGGAGGAGTGACAGGCCAGATGAACTTCACTTAGGTTTGCCGTGAATTTCACTTTAAAAATTGTGGCCTAGATAGGAAAAATGCCCTTTAAACTCACAGGTAGTCTCACCTGTCACTTTTGAGTAACAACATGTTCTAAACTGCTTCCTTATCTGTATTACATCTCCTTGCTGATAGCATACGGCATGCAGTGTTTGAAAAATCAGCTCTGGGTGGAACGGGTGTGGGACATGCACAATCAACACCAGTACAAACTTCCATTTGGGAGACTCTGAAATCCTAGGTGCTTTGTGGCTTGTGAAATGTTAGTTGCAGGAGTAACTGTGCAAGGCTGTTATACATAAATTAAATGGTGCAGAATATCTGATAATAAAAATAACACACTAATGAAGGACATTATTTAGAAGCTTGGTATCATTTGGAAAAACAAGTGCTTAAATCCTCCTGACTTTAGAAACTGACTTCCTAGAATCTCCCTCTCCTGTGACTCCACAAGTAAAGACAGGTTAGAAATATCAGAGCATGCTTTCCACGTACAAAGGCTTCTGGTTTTCATTTGCAGAGAGTACTACTTTCAGCACAGAGCAATAGCTTTCCTAGGTGGTACCTTCCTGCATTTAATGTAGATCTGCATGAGTGATTCCAGGCTATGTCCTGGTTCCACCATGCTCATGATCAAATGACAATCAGAGCCTTAATTTATTTTTATTTGTATATTTTCAAATAACATGGAATAATTTTGTCTTCTCATTCTGTTTTTCTCAGAAAACATCTCAATGTTTATCTTGGCTGCTGATTAAATTCTTTGAACCTGTCTCTGTTCACTGTGGAGGCTGGTTAGATGCTCAGTATCTTGTACATAGATTGTTTCACAAGTGTAGCAGCTGAAATGGTAAAATGCAGCATCTTAAGCACATTTTCCTTTACACCTGCCTCACTTCCAGTTTATTCCTAAGCTTGGACGACAAACCCCCTGACTTTAATGGGAGTGATAACGTGTAGTTTCAGCTTTTTTCCCCTGTGAGGATCATCTTCCTATTCACTGGAATCCACTTGAGACCTGTATTTTCAGGAGGGTGTGACATGGGCAGAGAGGCACACTCAGTTCTCTGCCCCAGGGATGGACTCTGGCTCTAAAGCTGAGGTGTGATGAAAGACTCCTTGCTGCCACGGTGCCCCCCTACCCTGAGGTGACCTGGAGGTTGGGAGGGAGGGAGATTGCAGGCAGACCACATCCAATAATTAACACCTAACTTTGAGGTCAGTTATTGCTTATTTGCATTTCATTATCATGGAGTACTTGCAGCAGAGGGAGTTTTGGCAGTTATTTGCCAGTTCTTATTAATAAGTAATCACTACTGGGATTGTGCTGGCTCATTCAGTAGATTTATAGTGCTGCACTGAGGCATGAGGCTGTTTCTTAATATCTGTTCTTTCTTTCTTCCTTAGCTCACCAAACACATAGCCTTTATTTAAACTTATTTTAATGAAGACTCATAGGTAAACTGTGCTCAGGTCTGCTGTTTTGAAAAGCTTGTTAATAGTGGGAAGAACGGATGGTCCTGTAATGAAGTCATTTCACATTTAACTCAGGGTTGGATGGATTCCAGAAAAATGAATTAGTCACATGTGTGGATGGATTTTGGTTTTATAGAGAATGGTGGAATCGAGCCAATTCTTAATATTTGTCTGCCAGTTAAAATATTTGGCAAAACCTCTCACGTGTACACACATAATGAATAGCAATGCAACTATTTTTCTCCCCACTGGGAACTTTTCATGGTTATGAGAAACAGAAAGGGTGAAGGCTGGGAAAATGTCACGTTGAAGCTGGTTCAGTCTTAGCGCTGCTGCGTGTAACGTCCCATGGTGGAGACACTGTCTGCTAAGAACATGAGGGTCTCTTGCCCTCTGTCACCACTCTGTAACATTCAACAGGCCTTCTCAGAGTCCTCAGGAACACACTTAATCTGCATGTTTTTTATATTAGAGGTACCAAGCCTTTTTTTCCTCCAGGTTTGGGTGACTGCAGTGTGTTCTCATGAGATGAGACCCTCCTGTGGATCTTGCAGAGGGAGCTTTCAAAAAAGAGTTATAAAATGTTGGGAAAAAAAAAAAAAGCCTGGGAAGACTTAATGTAGATGGATTATGTTGAAAGGTCGGGTAGTTTGTATTCTGTACCTTTCTTTTAAAAAAAACGCCATGTTTTTATCCAGTGCTAAATCTTGATATTTTGAAATCCAGAAAAGATGATGATGTCAGAATTGAAATCTCTGGTTTTGTATAAAGAAAATGGCAGTTAAGGTGATGATCTCCTGAATGAGCTGTTCCTCATGGCTCTTACAAAGATATTTTCCTTCAGGCAAGGTGAAGAAATGAGCACCTAGATTTTCAAGCATAAAAGATAAACATTCAGCTGTCTTTTGCTGTCATGAACAGCAGAATCCTGACATTTCAGTTCAGTTCTTCATGTTCTTTTAAATTTCGTCTTCAGATTACTCATTCCTAACACAAGGTTAACATCCAGGTATGAAACTGAAGTCTCTACCCACTTAATTTGTGATTAACTTAATCTCAGCCTCTTCCTTTTTTGGAGGTGTTATAAAACTTAATTTTTGAGGAGCTAAATTGTGTGTGAAACTTACTATTGAAGGTGTGGAAATAATGCATGCTCTGAAAGAAGGTCTAAATTTGGTAGATTTAATCCACAGCTGTGTTAATTTGTAATCACAGAAACACAGGAGCTGAGATACAGCAGTCATTTTATTTTAGTTGATGTCCCTGTTCCAAGGCAGGACTAGCTGTACCTGTATTTTATCCAACAAGTGTTCATTCAAATGCTGTTTAAAATGCTCTCAAGTAGTGAAGAATCCATAGGCTTCCAGCACAACCCACTGCAGTGTATCACATTCTTGTTCTTAACTCTTAACACACAGGGAGGACACCTACCTGATGTTAACATTTTTCCTCGTGCAGGATCATTCCATGGTCTAGTTTTGCAGAGTGGTTTGAGATGATGTTCCCTTGGAAAGTCCTTTATAAGTGTAAAACATTAACAACTTTGTGACATGCTTGCATCATTAATTCATTGCGACTTCTTTCTGCTAAGGGCTTTTATGAAGAAAGTGTGTTAATACCCTTTACTGGCAATAATTGTAGAAAAATAATCTGATAAAGAAAAAGCATTCCTATCATCAAAATGACCTCCCTCTGCAATGTGAAAGCAAAGTTAAAGGAAGATTTATTGGTTGTTGTACAGGTCTGATTTGGAATTACAGTTCAAGTGCTATCACCATGAAGACAGACAAATGAACACAAACTGGCCAGCTTCAGTCCAGGTCAGCGTTAATGCAACCCCACTTACCATCGAACGTGGCGACAACAAGACATCTCATAAACCTCTGCACCTAAAGCACGTTTGCCAGCCAGGAAGAAACACGATTCAAATTACAGTCACAGCATGTTGTTGTGTAAGTACATTGAGCTGCAGCTGCTGATGCTGAGTTTGCTATTTAGTATAGTTTGCAAATGTTGCCTTAGCTGAAAGAGCCTTACTCTCTTTTTTTTTTCCATGCATTTTTCTGGTAAGGTGCTTGTTTGATGATGTTGACACAGTCAGAGTGCTAATATGGAAATTTTTGCTCCTGAATTATTGCAGAATGTAGTGGTGTCCTTCCAGTGTCTCTGAAAAGGCTTGTGGTCTAGGGGAGGAAGGGAGTTTGATCTCCTACATATTTAGCATGTGCTTGCATTACAAGGCAGCTAAAGTGTATTAATGTAGAAGTAGATTATTGTGATGCAATCTGTTTGATACTAATTTCATTTACTTAAGGTACTGTGTTTGGTTTGACATGAGAACATCATCACCATCACCATTGGTGGTGGTGGTGATAATTTTTCAAATAGCTTTTTAGATGAAAACTCACATTCCATGATGCAGTCTAGATGATGCAACTTTCCTCTTTCTCTTTTTCCATGATTTAGTTCCTCTCAGGGTCGAGTACTCTTAAGTATTCTTAATGTAGGCTGTTGCACACATACAGACTGAGCTTTTGACTGTTCTGTTGTCACTGACAAGAAAGCAAGCTGCTACCTCTCCCAAGGTCGCAGTGTGAGGCACTTCGACAAGAAGCCATCCACCCATTTTGCTTTACTTCGCACTGATGTTTCTCTGTATAATGTCATTTATCTGGTGGCTAAGAGCGGGGGCAACATCCTGTGAATCCAAAACAAGCTCTGTATTGGGGAAGGAGATTCACTTGGTTCCAGACACATCAGTAGCAAATAGTTTTTGCGACTTCCAATGTAGTCTGAGGGCAGGCAGGTAGGCTAGACTGTGTCAAAGAATCCAGGGTTTTAAAAATAAACCCTGATGTCAAAGATGAATACATCAGCCCTGCATATTCTGAATATTAAGGAAGGAGAAAATGAAGAAAATCTTTGCTTTTTTTAAAGCCCTTGTGTACATTATGCTTCTGGAGCATGGAACATCATACTGTGCAGCGTGCAGAATATCCCTAAGGGAGCACATGTGTGCAGCAGAGCAGAACCAGAGCAGAGCTTTTGTATTTAAGCATCAGGCTCTTGCAGAAGCCACGTGTCAGAGGGAAGAATGCAGCTTTGTTCAGCACAGTGTTTACCCTGTGTGTTTGGTTCTCTTGGTAACAAAATGCATTTTCTTTCAGTCACACTTGTTCGTGTTGCAGTTAGTACACCGGCCATCAGTTCGCTCTGTACTTCAAGGTCTACTAAAGAAACGCCTCCTTCCAGCAGAACATTGTATCACTAAGAGTGAGTTTCATTCTGCATGGGGGATGACTTTCCAGAATGGCTATGTTCAGTTGTGATCAGCTGTTTCTACACAAGATTTACTTGCTTATTGAAAAACTTAAGCTGGCCTTGTCACGAATTTCCAGAACATTGTGTGCATAGATTAAATCCTTGATATACTCAGATGTTGAAGGCTATTTGGGTGGGGATAACAGAGTACCAAGGGCACAAGTTTAGTTCCCAATTAGAACTCTCCCATTCCAGGAGAACCTTTCAGGTTTTTCTTCTGTCTTTGTTTTTGACTTACCTAAAAGCCTGTGTAGAAAGATTATTCTTTATTGAGGGCTGCTTTAAGTGCTTGTATGGCACTTTATTTGGTTAAGGATATAGCTGATAGGCATGTATGTTGGTTTGTCTGTTCAGGTATGTTCTAAATTATACAGAATAGAGTATGTGGGTAAATTGCCTCATTAAATTGGCCCTTGAAGGTTGAGTGTTGGTCTTTCAGATTTCTATGTTGGAGTTTACTTACACTTGATTTTTCTCACACATACACATACCTTCTTTCTAAACAGTAAAGAGGAACTTCAGTAGTGTAGCAGCTTCCTCTGGCAATGCAACACTAAATGGGGAAGATGGAGTAGAGCAAACTGCTATTAAAGTGTCTCTGAAGTGTCCAATCACATTCCGGCGGATTCAGCTCCCAGCAAGAGGTCATGATTGCAAGCATGTACAGGTGAGTGGCCTGGCCATATTTCCTCAGTCATGTGTTGCTACAGTACCTTTAGCTTGGTTATCATATGAGAACCTAATGAAATGGGATTTCTTTGTGTCTGTCACCCTAAATAACTATATATATGTATGTTTAATGTAGAGGGAGAAAGTAACCTATTCAGTTTAGTTTTCGTGCTAGTAGGCTTTTTCGTGGCAGTTTTACTTTTGTCCAACTGATTTAGTTAATAAAATATTTTCCCTTGATTTCCTCTTTTTTTTGTTCCTTCTTTGTTTCTTTCTGATACCTAGTGCTTTGATCTGGAATCTTACTTGCAACTGAACTGTGAAAGAGGAACTTGGAGGTGTCCAGTATGCAAGTAAGTGCAAGCATACTACATGAAATGCAGTTGTACACATGTTGACCAAATTTGAATCATATTTAAGGTCATGGAGGGAAGAAAAAGGAAGTGAAATAAGGCATATGTATTACATTTACATAATAGCATAAATTCCAATGAGAATTCTTGAAATATTTCATAAATTGAGGGAACACCTGGATTATTAGAAATTTAAAAACAGATACTAAGAGGTATTTTCTCACAAAATACATCATCTGCAGGGTTTCATTGCAGGCTGTCAATGGGTTGCGTAGAGTTTAAAAGAAGTTCATATAGCTTCAAATTAAGACAGATACCTACATAAATAAATGAACTGGGAGTTTTTCTTCTTCTAGATTATAAAGTATAAGCAACTATCAGTCTATTCTAGAATTGTTTTTGTATAATTTTAATGTTGTAATGCCCAAATTACTGAACTTCAAGTAGTAGCTGAATGTTAAGGGTGTCATATAACTGTCTCGGGTACTGTGCTTTGAGTCACATATATGCAGTTATTGACAGTGTTCAATGAGAGGGGGAGTTTCGGAGACTGCAACATTTGCCAGTAATTTGGTAGGCGATGAAGTTGGATCCTCCAAGATCAAAGTCAACATCAAGTACAAATGAAAGTGAGAGCAGAAAGCAGGAAGGATTATAGTTCAGAATAAGGCTGATTTTTAAAAAGCTAAAATATTTCCATGGAGCAAAATTTTGGAGTGATTGCTTAAAGGAAAGGAGGGATGCAATAGCATACTTTCAACCTTATGTTTTGACCAGAGAGCTAGTATACTGCAGAAGAAATGAAACAAAAATTTTTGAAGTGGTTACAGACTGCCCATTCTTACATTTAATTAGGCAGAAAGAATCTCAGAAGGTGTGCAGAGCAGTTCAGTGTCTGTAGCCTACTGTGCTCAGTCCACAGGTTTACAAGTTTGTTCGAGGAGCCAGAGCTCTTAAGCTCAAGCAGCTGTAGCTGTAGCAGCTTGTACTTTATCTCTGCCAACTCTCTAGGTTTGGTCCCTGCTGTGCCAGCCAATGTTAGGTATAAACAGGACTGGAGATTGTCCATTCTATCTGCTTCTTTGGATACTGCAGGCTTGAGATGAGCCTGTTTTGATGACTACCCATGATTGATACATATCCTAAAATGCAGGTGCTTTCTCTGAACTACCTGAATCTTGTCTATCTTATAAGTTAGGCTAAAAATATCACAAGAATTGGGTTTCTTGCTTCTTGATTTCTGTATTCATACATCCAGGCCAAAATTTTTGTACTGTTTCTCTGAGTCTGAGCACCTGATTCAGATCTAAGTGCCTATGTAACTAAATCATTTCCGGTTTTGTTTTTTTCTGTCCCCATCTGTGCTGATCTTAAGTAAAATAGCTATAATATGTGGTTACTTTGAAGCCATATTACTGTGTAATATTTTTTCAATTTGGAAAAAAATAGTACTAGTTGATGTTCACAGGAGAGATCTATGTTTGCAAAGTCTTTAAATTCACAATATATATCACTAAAAAAATTGTTTGAAGGACATGAACAGCTTGTGGACACACACATGTAGATGTGTCCTTATCTCATCTATTTGATATCAAATACTATTATCCTGGTGACAAAGATCTAAAACTAAAACTGTTTGCCCCAAATTGTTCCTAAATTATGTGTTACAGATAGTAAGTTAGTGGATCTCAGTTTGCTGGCTTCATCAATAACCTGTCTTTCTTCCATCCCTCTTTTAACACATGTATAGCAATATTCTAACATGAGGTTGGATTTTCTTTTTCCTTTCTAGTAAAACTGCTCTGCTGGAGGGCTTGGAGGTTGACCAGTATATGTGGGGTATTCTGAACGCTATACAAAAGTAAGTGAACTTACTCATTTCTGATATCCAAGACTAAGCAACTAGGAGATATGTTAATTACTACTGAGATAGTCATGCCAAAGTAGGTCTTCATGACTGAACTTGAATATTCTATTTCATGGCTCCTTTGTGGAGCTACTGATACAGTGAATCAGTTTCCATCTACTTAATAGTCTTGTTTCAGTTATCTCTTGATGTCAGCCTCACCAATGAAACAGAGAGAAGAATGAGAATGGAGGATTAAATGCTTTCTCATGTTTCCAAGTAGTTCCTCTGATTCTTATGTGGCAGACCATATAGATATGTTTGGATTTCATTGTGTGGATAAACACAGAAATGTGTTCTCACAGTTGCCTCTTCTAAAACTTGCTTTCAGCACATAGAAGCAAAAGATCTTGAGGTGGTATTATCCTAGAGCATTTCAGAGCATTTGTTACCGTATTTTTACAGAAACTTCAGAAGAATTGATTTTTTAAAAAAAAATAATGTGATAAAATTTTCACATTATTTTACAGCTCAGAGTTCGAAGAAGTTACTATTGATCCAACTTGCAGTTGGAGGCCAGTCCCAATAAAGTCAGATATTCACATCAAAGATGACCCAGATGGCATTCCCTCAAAAAGATTTAAGACCATGAGTCCAAGCCAGATGATCATGCCAAATGTGATGGAGATGATTGCAGCTTTGGGTCCTGGCCCATCACCTTACCCATCCCTACCCCCTCCTCCAGGAGGCAACAACTCCACTGAATATGGTAACCAAGGTTAGTTTTACAGCTTTGTGCACCCAGGTGGTCACTCTAGAAGCGAGTGGTTCAGTCAGCTTTGTGATTCAGGTATGTCAGTGCATCTTCTCAGAGAGATGTGTAAGGAAAGCAAAATATATGGCTGCAGTTCTGAAATTCTGCATTAGTCTTTTCATTTAAGATTCGTCTGTTTAGAAGAAAATATGTTTTAGTAAGGAAATTGGTGCTTGTCATATTGTACTGCCATGCAGCCCTTCCTGAATCAACAAACATTCTATATGTAACCTTATATATTCATGGCCTGCCATAGTAAATGTCTTTCTTCCATTTTTTCTGTCCACTTTCATTCTGTTCCACCCTTATTCAAGTGAAGGCTCCTAGTGCTATAGAAGTTACAAAGTATTAATCCTGGTACTTGGGCCAGGGGAGTGACATTTGGTAGGCCACCCAGAAAGTGGGTGACTTTTAAAGAGCTTTTAACTGTTTTGTGAACACCTTTGCATTAGAAAATTACTTCTGAGTTCCTCTACCCATGTGCTGACAGATTGAGAAACAGGGAACTAAATACAGGCAGTGGAGATATGTTTTCAAATGACTGATATATTGTGTATAACTCAATTATAGTGACAATTCTGAAAATATGAAACCAGAGACTATTTCTTTTGCAAGTAATATGATATGACTCAGTTCAGCTCTGGGAAAAGACCAACTGTTCACACCAGCAGAATCCCCAAATTGATTACAAGGTGATATATGTGCTTTTTGCAGGCATTTGAAGAAAAATATAGATTGCATGCAAAATATGGGTTAATTTGCTTCAATGACTGCAAAACTGATGACAGATGATAAAACTTTTCAGGTTTTCAAACAGATGAATGATTACTGTAACAAAGCCAAGAGCACTGAAACACAAATTTTTCACTCGTTTAGTAGGAGTGAAGTGCAGCAGAGCATGAGAACAGAGCCATCTATTTTTTGTCATCTTTCTAGCTCATAATTGGGAACGGACAGGTAGGGTTTAGGGTTTGTGCGACAATTACTGCTTAGACTGTTACTTCCTTGCCTTTACCTGTGGATCCTGTAGCAGAGGTAGTCATTGCTTCTTGGAGCCCTAACTAATCACTGGCAGGTGAAACCCACACTCTCCTATTTCCCCTGCAATAGGCATATCAATGCAGAGCACCACATGATCTTGAATGTTCTTAATAGGTCTATCCCTCAGCATATGGCACAACTCTTACCCTAAAGAAGGGCATGTTGCTGCACAGCTGTAACTCCCTGGGCATACTGCCTTGCATCTTCATTCTCCATGAATATGTGCACTGAAACTCAGTGTTTAGAATTAGGTAATGTCCTCTGATTAACAGTACTCTAGAGCAAAGTAGTAGTAGTGTTACTACTATGGTTTATGTTTGTTTATTTGGGTTTGAGAGTAAGCAGTACTGGTTTAATTTGCAAATATAACAAGTACTCAGTAATACAAGACCTTATTCCAGCTCCCTGCTATTAAATCTTTCCTAAGAAGCAAGGCAAGACCAGCTATACTCTGTGAGACTCATCCAGTTTGCAGATTAACAAAATGAGAATTAGTCAGGCTCTGCAGTATTTACATGATAGATCAAAGTCCTGACTTCTTTGAGAAATACTCTTACATGGCTAATGACTTCTGTTCCTCTGAGATTAAACTTCTGTTTGTGAAGCTGTGCTAAAGAGCAAATGATACAGCTCCTTCAGTTTGTCAAACTCTCTTCTTGACTTGAACATTTAAAGCTGCTGTACTTCAGCTGATGAACTGCAGGCTCTCCGTGCAAGATCCAAAGTTATTCTATTATTTCAGAGCTCAGTATCATCCCAATTCAGCAGCTTATGTGAAATAGCTGAGTGGCTTTAGTTTGGTTTTTGCTGCTCATAGCAAATAAGCCACCAGAGTTGGTATCTCAGTTGGAAGTGTTAACAGAGGGATCTGGATGGAAAAAAATACGGAAAATAAACCCTATATTGGGATACATGCTTGCTTTAGAATTCCAAGTGAAGATCACTCAGCTGAGGTGGGATGGATTAAAATGTACCGACAGTGGTCATACAGTAGTTGTCCTGCAGATCAGGAGGGGGCTCCATGCTTGTTCTAGATAGTAGATGTGTGTGGGTAAATCCAGACCATTTATTCCAAATTGGTGTGAAATTTTTTGGTGCTTTGGAGAATATCGTTTCAGGCTGAAGTTAAGCAGATTTCATAAATTCACTAGCTTTTCATTATGAGCTTGTATATCCACATGCTGAAACACAAGCTACAGGCAGCCAGTTTGTAACTCTGAAAATGAGAAAAATAGATCCAAGAGGGGAAAATTGATGTGTTTGCAGTTAGTCAAGTGAATTTTATTAGGTTTTGTGGTAGCAAGGAGAATTACATCACAAAACCCAATTAGACATGAAGGCCTCTTCTGCAGTATCTTAATGGAAGTTGCCTGTTTATACTGCAGAAGAGGAGGTAAAATGGATGCTGTGCTATGAACTGGTACTGTGGCATCTTCCTGATAACAGTTCTGTCAGCTTCATCAGAAGCTGAAGCAACGCTACAGTCGTACTGAGTGTGTAGAAGCATAGTCATAAATAACACAAGTGTCCTATAAATAATTTTGGACTTGGGCAGTTGGTCTCATTTGCACTGAGATGCTTCCAGATGCAAATATTCTATAGGATTGAATACGTTTTTGCTTCTCAACTTGGTGAAGTATATGTGGTGACTTGACAGTAGTTTTTCAAAATGTCAGTAGTTTTCAACTAGTTACACCATGTACATGAGTTATTACAGCGGCCAGTATTTGAAACCTGAATACTGGTTTTTCCTCCCTATTCCTCCAGCTTGCTCCAGCAGTGGGGAGCGCACTGTTGTCAGGTCCAGCGTTGCCATTGCCCTGTGCTGTGCCATGCTGCACAGCTTTTACAAGATACACTGAGAGATCAATGTTGGGAAACAAATAATTTCTTTCACATCACATCTGTTTCTCTTTTAGGCAACAGTTACCAAGGTCATGGCAATTTTGACTTCCCACATGGGAATCCGGGTGGCACATCTATGAATGACTTCATGCATGGGCCACAGCTGTCACATCCCCCAGACATGCCGAGCAGCATGGCAGCTCTCGACAAACCTCTCAGTCACCCCATGCAGGAATCTGTAAGTAATGGTGCTGTGGACGTAGATTTTCCTTTGTGGGGGGTAAGGAGCTCTTATCCAGCTAACGGACTTGACTTGTGAACTGCTTTTACTTTTTGTGGATTTCTCACTTTGGAAGTTTCTGAAATAGAGTAGACCTGAGAAATGCAAAAATGGCATTTTTAGTTTCTGGCCTTTTTGAGTTTTCAGAGAAGCATTTCTGAGCCTTTTGAATTGTCATTTAAGGTTGTTTATCTGAAAGAGACAACCTGGCTCAGTGTGGTTGTGTTAATCATTGTGCTTTGCTCTGACACCTGAAAAAAACTAGACGTCATTCCCTAGGCCGGCAGGGTCTGTGAATATCCATCTTCAGCAGACAGCTTGTTATAGCAAGACATTGACTGACTTCAGAGCAGGGGCAGTATCTTCCCTGGCTTTGTCCCTGAGGGCAAAATTTACATCAAAGCATTTTGAGGGGGAATTCTGCCCAAGTAGCATGAAAGGCACCTTTAAGCTGTTGGGAATAGGACAATTCTGTAGATTTCAAGGAGAGATGGTGCCACTGGTTTGAGAGTGTTTCAGTGTAAGAGACTAAAAGATGGAGGTTCCTCAGGTCTCAGGCAGAGAGGCAGAAATGTGCGTTGGAAAAACAGCTTGCTCAGAGCACTGAGTTTTATATACAGAACTTTATGTACCTCCAGAAAATGCAGTACTGCAGCAGCTAGGTGATAGAAAAGCTACAAGCAGCATTTAGCTCTGAGTCATGGCTAGTCATCTATTTTAACTCAAGAGGTGTGGGGGCTGGAGTGTATAGATCCTTTTATGTTCATTTAAGTTACAGGGCAGGGGCTTTACAGTGTGCTATTACTGCACAGGAAGGATGTTTAACACAAGTCATTTGTGCCATGTCTTTAGTGAATACTAGAAAGTACAGTTTCAGAATGTAATGAGGAAATGTGGTAGCAGATGCCCAGCAAAAGCCTACTCAGTCAATATCTCCTCTAGTTGGCACTGGATTTTCCAAGGAGGATGGTGAGAAGTAGGAAGAGAGTGGAGAGAGTGTTCTTAGTATAGCTTGGAGAGAGGCCAAGTAACAAGACTGTCTTCAAAGGAAGAGTCCAGGAACCGTTAACGACTTTACCACTTTACAGGCTAATAAAGGACAGAACAAACATGCTGTAAACTTAATTTTACATTGGCAAGTTCCACATACCCAGCTTAAAGAGCAGTCTGAATTATCTGCATCAGAACCAACCATACAGATTTAGAATATAGTAGTGAGGGGGAAATACTACAAACCTGAACCACTCACAGCTGCTTTCCTTTGAATCAAAGCTGCAGGGAATTACTCTTTGCCTGCCATTATCTGACATCGACTTCTTGACTTCATCAGTTAACTGCTATACCTTTGCTATAGAAGTTGCCCCAGTGAAATTTCTGAAGTGGTAGGACATGAAGTGGTTGAATATGGAAGTGAAGAATCTGTAGCTTTCTGAAAATGAGACTGCTTACAGATAATAACAAAGGTGAAAGTTGCTCAAGGCTATGCATGTTCCAGAGCTATAAGAGGGTATTTGGGCAAATGTTAATAGATTTTTGGGTTCTGTGGGCCAGTCTGTAGTAAATCTGATTCTTGCTTATGATAGCTTGCAATTAAAGTAAACCTTTGCCTCACTTCTCCCTCATCTATCACAATACACAAGCTGTACTGTTTGGGAAGGGAGAACAGTGCTAAAGCAGTTCCACCTAGTTTATGTCAGTGGCTGATTTTCTCTAATGAGGACCAGTTTTCTGGCCTATAAGCACAGGGGAATTATATTGACCTTGTCAACATAGTCATGTAGTCTTTAGGCCACATGTGAGCCCTGTTAGTGCTCTCATACAGCTTTTTCAATATTACAGATTCTCTGCTTTTCTCTCTATTTTTCTCCTTCTTCCTTTTTTCTCTCTCAAAAAACAAACTGTCTGTAGCAGACACTCAGGAAAGGCAGCTTTAAATTACTGCTTTTAGAGAAATGCATGCCATTAACACATTCCTAAATTGTGTAGCTGAAAGTCTTTAGACAGACATCTCTGTCTAAAATAACTATAAACCACATTGCATAATTGGAAGTAAGGTTTTAAGACGTTGCCTGTGCTTTTCTCTGGCTTCCTCTCTTTCATTTTTACACATTTAAGGTGTATTTTGTTTTCATCCACTATTCACTTTGACCATTTTGTGTTTACAAATTGAGTCAGGATCAGATGTTTGGTGCTTTTAGACTCAAGGTCTATCTCTTGGCTGGAGCTGAATGCTGCTGAGGAGGTTCCAAAGTTTCCTATTATGAGGATTTATGTGATGGCTCTTATATAATGGTAGGCAGAGAAAATTGATCCCTCCAGACATATTGTGTAGATCACTCCAGGAAATGCAGATGTGTTTGTCCGGTGTAGGTAGGGCTAGGTAACCGTGGCTGGATCATCAGAGCTACCTTCTCTCAACACTGCTGTTCTGCTCCTGTGGAAGAAGAAAAAAATCAAGACCTGAAACGGTCTAGAAGTAATACCTCCTCCCCAGTGTAAAGTGGTGTGAGAACTATAAAGCAGATGCTTCTATGTCAGTGCAAGATTGCTACAAAATAGCTGCCACAATTGGATGATGTTTGTTTTCAGAAGTTGGAAACAAGTTTTAGACAAAGGTAAGTTCAGAGTTAGCTCTAGCTTAGTGCTTATTGCAGTGTAAGGAGTGGTACATGACTGAGCAATGGATGATCACACCATGGTTTCACTGTACACGGTGAGGTGAGATGAGCTGGTGCCACTGTAAAAAGTCATTGCTCTTGTTTCTATTTTCACTTTTCCTCTGTATCGCAACAGTGTAAGTGTTACTGCAGCCGTGAAGTGATCTGGATCCGGTACTGATGTGATTGAAAACTAGTTCAGAGCGAAGGGAAAAAAGAAGTTTAGCTTTTATCCGTGTCGGTTCCCCAGTTGAGTTCACTTCATGTCTGCAAGGATACACCCAATGACAAAAGCATGGATGGGAAAAGTGACTTGAGAACAGCAGCAGGGCAGGATGGCATCTTTCAATGGTTCTGCCAGATAACCCAGCAAAAGAGTTGGTAAAGCTATGACCCCAGTAATGGAAAGAGATATAAGCCATCAACTTAACCTGCTGATATGTTTTTTTCACTATCAATTTTCTCCTGAGATGAAAGGGGTATTGTCTACAATTGGCAGGTCCTGTTGCTTTACAGCTGTACATTTTGGCACTCCTAGAGGCCACTGTTGGGCTTGTAAAGAGTTGTGTTGTTTTGTGCTACTAAGCGGAAGATGTGTCTGCTGTGAGCTTGTCTTTGAGTGATTGTGAATGTTTTAAGAGTGCCAAAGTTTATGCTCCTAAAACAACTCTGGAACTACGTTGCTATGTAGGCAAAGGCAACTTTGTTAGACTCTGCATTTATATTGTGGGTTAATGTTTTTAAAATAAAATTACAGGAGTTGCAGGCATAAGCTGAACATAAACAAACTGTATTGCTTAGAATGTTTTTGCACCATAGCAAATTTATCATAAGGTGAATGCAAATAGAACATTGTTGAGGTCCTGAGCATTTTCCTTTCTCACAGGTAGGCTAGTGGAGTTTGTGGCCTAAGTCAGATGGATTTTGAACCTGCGATGGCTAAAATTATGGTGGCCCTCAGACTTACAGTGAATAATGACCCCCTATCCAAGAGTTATCTCAGGGCCCAAGATACTGCCTTATCAACTAAATATTTATATATATAAAATGCTTGCCTATATAAACATAATGTAGAATTTCTAACCTGCTTATTTGTTTTGAAATGTGTCTGAGAAAATATGAATGCCTCTTGATTTAAATAATTATTGATATAAACATGCCAGTACAACTCTTGCTTTGTACATTCAGGGATAAATTTAAGACACTATTCAAGATAATCCTGGTTTGTTTGGGTTTTTTCCGGAAACTGCTTTCCCACTTCAGCAACACCGTCTTAAATTCCTTTTTACTTTTTGTTATTATTAAGCTTTCTTAATTCCCACACTTTCTGTTGCACATGTCCTCAATGAAAGAAGAAGGAAACAGTACTGTTTGGATAGACATCTACTTTCACTTGGACTTCTGCAAAGTTTTTAGGCTGCAGATTCATTTACTTTGAGGTGTGGTCTGTGCGCAGATTTTGTACAAGTTTACCCCTAAGGTAACAAAAATAATGTTGCAGAACACTTTTCAAGTAGTCAGACTGTGACCCTAATGCAGAGAAGAGTGTGTATCAGTACTTATTAACAGTTCTTTTAAACTCTCATATGGGAAAGAGGCCCAAATGCCATGTTGTAGATAGAATCCTGCTTATTTCCACCAACCTTCATACTGCCAAAGCATTGGAGAGGACTTCTGTGTAGTTGAGTATGACTGTCCCAGTGGATTAGTATTCAGGTTTCAGTTTTCATACAAGTGGTGAAATGTATTTTTTTTAAATGTTTGTTTCTGGGGGTTTTGTTTAAGTTTTGTGGGAACATTTAAAGTTTTGTAATAATCGCCCTTTTGCTTTCCAAAACTGAAGACTAAGGTTAAAATAACCTTGCAGTTTACTGTGATATGAAAGGGTCAATGCTGACATAGCATTTTGCTGTTTTCTGTTGGCCTTGGCTGGATGAATTTCATGCTGTTGTCGTATGTATCTGTTCTTTTATTTCAGCTCCGCTTTGTGGCAATATGTTGCATTCGTCAAAAAATGTTTACATTTTTTGCTTCTCCATATACCCAATTAATATGAGACATCTGATTCTGAAGGATTCAGACGCTCCTTTTTCATGGCACCAAGGTCAAGCCCCAGAGAATCCACTAGCATTAAAAGTGACATGCAGTAGAAGGAGGACTTGGGCTTGTGCATTTTTGTTGCTTCTCTGTCATGTGAGAAAGACTTTTCCCCCATTCTTCCATAATGGGATTTGCAGGATGCATGTGATTTGGTAGTTTATTCTCCATGGAAAACATACAGAATACCAAGCTTTTGCTAGAGAACTTACCCATGGCATGAATACAAAATAGAAGTGTGATCATTAGCTTAGTTTAAGGCTAATGCATTGAACTTTGCAGTCAGCAGGTATGCAGCCACCTACAGCAGCTCTGCTGATGGTTAGGGAGCTCACTAGCTGAGCTGACCTTTTTTTGTCAACCATCAGAACCTATGAATATCAGCGAGGAAAATCTTCAGCCCTTAAAAAGGGGTGTTGCATTATGAAAAGGAGAGGAGGAGTGGGGAAGAGCTGGTCTTTGCAAGATGTTTGTAATGAGCTGGAACATGAATAAGCAGGTGGTGTCAGGAAGCTACCCAGTAAGGGAGCTGAGCAGAAATTATACATTTTCTCAGTAATCAGTTTACTAGTGTAGGGATCCTTATTCAACAAATTCTTCATTCATGAATTTTTTGGGGCAAAAGCATCTGCCTTGCTAATGCTGAGCAGCACCCATAAGCCTTCCCTCCTCTGTGGGGTGGTTATTTCACATCTTCAAGCACAGTTTCCCACATCACAAGGAAGCAAAACAACAGCACAAATCCGATGGATTTATCTCCCCCTTCCAGATAACCTTCAAAAAGCTGAAACACTTCCACCAGCATTGGGATATGGAGTTTTCTTTTCCGATTGCACTTTTAAATTTCTTTTTTGGTTTTGTTTTGTTTTTTTGTCATGTGTGTCTTTTTAAAATTTATTTAAGTTACTTTTTTTTGTAACATGTGGTTACAGAGTCAGGCACCGCGAGCACTGTACCTTGTGGCCTCACTTTCTTTTCCTGCTTTTTTCCTCCTCCGCAGATCCCTCATCCCGGCAGCACTGATCAGTCCCATACTTCCATGCAGCAAGGTTTGCACGTCCCTCACCCCAGCAGCCAGTCAGGGCAGCCATTACATCACAGCGGGCCTCCTACCCAGCAGTCCCGGCAGCCGCCCCCGGCCGCTTCTAGCAACCATCCACACAGTGACCTGACCTTTAATTCCTCCTCAGCCTTAGAGGGTCAGGCTGGTGGACAGGGAGCACCTGACATGCCGGAGCCCTCGCTGGATGTAAGTCTGTGTCATACTATCATCTGCCTGCCATAGCGTGTGCTTCACATCGCGGCGGGATGGTGGGGGGGTGCGGGGATGGGGAGCCGCTTCCACAGCACATGCCATCCTTTCATGCTTTGGTACATGGGTGCAGGTGCTGCAGCCGAGGTGTCAGCGTGCTCCTGGCTTGCTGGGAGAATGGTTCTGGTTTGAGCAGCTGCGTGGCCTGTGAGCCACAGCCTCTTCCTAGCAGCAAGGCAGGCATTTCTTCAAACGTCAGTTCAGGCACCAGGCCAGGAGCCGTCTCCTCTCTTCTTACTGATCTCTGGATGGGGCTCCTGTGTACTCCTCTAGATGCTGAAGCCATTGCAGTGCCTGAATAAGAGGAAGGACGCAGATGTGTGTGGTTCTGACTGCAGCAGAGCTGTGCCAAGTGAGCTCCATGCAGAGCCCTGCAGCATGCCCTGACCAGTGCAAGGGGGATCTGTACCGGCCAACCCCGTGGCACAGTCCCTGCTACCTGTGGCCAAAATCAGGCTGTGCCCACCCACACCTGCTTGTACAGGTAGCTCAGCAGCACAAGTTCTTCCTCCCAGTATACCACATAGGAAAATAAACAAGGACATCTTCTGCCTCCTTAGCTACTATGGAAGGCAGCTCACAACTAAAAGATAAACCTTGTCTTAAGGCCAGAAGTAATCTTCCACCTTCTACCATCTGTTCAGTGGAGTTGGAACTGAATTATCTGAGGTATCTCTCTGGTTAACCACCTACCTCCCAAAATACAAATTCCTGAGCCACTAGGATTAGATTTTTGTTTGTTGTGTGTTCCTGTATGTGTATCTTCTGTCTGTTCCAAAGTCTGCTGCTGCACAGTGTAATTTTCTTAGAGAAATGCTCACCTCTGTGCCTCGGATTTATATCTGTAATTACTGTTGCTGTATACTTACGTCTTCTATGTCACATACGAGGTAGCCTCACAGAGGAGGAAAGGGATTAGGGAAGGGATGGATGCTCCAGTTGCAGGAACAGTGCTCAGTGGAGTAACTTCTGTCTGAACCAGGCTGCTGCTGTTTTGCACAACACAGTCACATGCACATCCTTCGGGAATGATAGTTCATGTGGCAGTTAGAGTTCTGAACCCTTAAGGACCCAGTATGAGCAATATTAATAGGTGAAATAAAAATGTCTCTTTTTTTCTTCAAATATTTAAGAAACATAAAGTATGCTGTTATGGGTCAGACACTCATTCCTCGATGAAAAGCAAAGTAAAAAAACCTGAACATTTATCACAGTACCATGGTTATCACTGATGGAGGCATGCTGGATTCTTACAGGAAGCCGAAATTATCCTAGCTGAATGAGAAGGCAAGTGCTCTACAGCATGGGGAATATAGTTCTTTGAAATATCTGTGAGCTCAGTCATCATCAAGTGGATTATTTTAATCAGTTTAACTTCCAGTAGCAGTGCTGTGGAACCAGGCTGAATAAAGTCCCATGCAGCAAACTAAAACAAGGGACCATACCACAGGCAACTTGGTCTGCTCCCTACTGACACATCACGTTAATTCTTTAGGACTTCTGTGTGATGCAGTCTAAGGTTTAACCTGGGTTAAAGGGTATATCTTGTATAGATACAGCTGTAGATACAGATAATCTGCACTTGTCCCTCTGACAGCAGAGGCACAAGACTCAAATGACTGGTTAGACCTTTCAAGTATTTGCTTCAGGAGCACTGGGTGCACCTCTCCAAATTCTGCCCCTAAATCTAGCATGTTCCCATAGCTTCTGCCCCAGTCATTCCTCCATCTCTTACCTCTGCTCCAGCACAGCACTCTCACCACCCAGCATGTCCTTTCACACCAGCTGGGCAGGAGGCAGGTTGTGCTGCCTGGCCCTTGTAACCAAGGCAAGCCAAGGTCACCCTCAAAATTTAGAAGACTTCCTCTTCAGAGATACTGAGCATATTGTTTAAAACTTCCACCTTTCTAAAAAAACATTTTTAAAAAATCCTCTTATACAAGGATGAGTTTAGAGAAGTTATGTTGGATTTTTAAGAATCAGATTGTAAAATTGTAGGAAAACTTAAACCATTTCTGACTTTTTTACACATTTAGTGGGCCTGCAGTTTTCTTTTGGGCTTCTGTACTAGGTGTTCATGAAAAATTGCAGGAGCAGGTGAAATACATTTAAAAGCCTTATATCTTTAGTCTAGTACTATGACAATAGCATTTTTACCACGAATAAAAGGAGGCAGTATTTTAAGAAAAGCATTAATTCTGGGAGATTCTGTTTATGTAAACTTGCCATTGCATTTTTTTTCAAAATGGTTAGAAAACAATAAACTTTTTTGCATTTCATGTTTAGCTTATTGAAAAATATGTTCATATAACATTAGAAAATGAAGCTGCATTTGCACAGGAGTAACAGAAGCATATAAGTATTTGCTTGCTAAATGTGATGCAGTCAGGCTTTTAGTTTTATATTATTTGAAAACAGAACAACTTAAAATTAATTTCTCTTACCTACTATTAAGTTTGTTAAAACAATTGGATGTTTTTCTGTCTTTGCTTTAACACAACACTGAATATAAAGGGAGTTTGTTACAAACTCTTCCCTGCCATTTTTAATACATGACACTTCTACTTTTGACTAGAATATAGCAAGATGCCGAATAAAGCAGAAAACATTGCCTGGTACACAACCCAGGAGTTACCGTTTGCTTGTTAACTGTCAGATGAAAAAGAATCTGATGTTTGGGAAAACAAATTTTTCTGTTTGAAACACAGTATTAATAAAAATATAAACAAACCCCACACAGCTGTTGCTTTTGATACTTTTAAAACATTGTGGAGATTTGTGCACCTTCTGTTGGATGGGGTGTTATGCCCTTGGCCCTTTAAAATGTCTGGAATTGCATGTGATGCTGTAGTCGAATAAGTACTTCCAACCACTGTAAACACAGAAAGGACAAGGACTTGCCCACCTGCCTTGTCACTCCTCTCCCTATACTCCTCCTCAGTTGTTTTTTTTCTAGTTTGTTTGGGTTTTTTTTTCTTCCTGGGCTGGTTTTAACCCTGGACAAGTTCCAGCTCCAGCTCACTGCCTGAGAGCTTACATCAGTGCACAGAGGTGTTGGGGGGTGGCTGGGGAGTGCGGAAAGGACAGGGCTGCCTCTTTCTGTAGGGATGCAGGCTTTGGGTGACCACCACACCGACCTGTGTGAGTCAGATAGACCAGTCTGTGTTGATCGACCTTAAAGCTCAAATGGGTATTGCTCAGACTGCATGTTTCAGATTTTTATTCAGCGCTTTATCTGAAACTAACATAACGTAACAAGCACTTACTGAGTTTTTGTCAGCATTGCTAGACAGGAACTATACTTTGTTTATTGATGAACTTTGTGATGGGGAGGTTGATTGAGAAATGGTAATGTAACTCACAGGTGAAAACTGAGTAATGCAGACTCACAAACAAGTGGATTGTGCATCATCTTAGGATGTTAGGTTTGTGTCACTGCCTTCCAATTTATTTGTTTGTATTCATATGAAAGCCAGTTACCAGGAATGTGTGGCATTTAATCCCTTTTTTCTCAATTATGTTTCTGTTATCTGTAATTTTCCTTTTATCTTTATATTTTATAGCTGCTTCCAGAACTCACAAATCCAGACGAGCTGCTTTCATACCTGGATCCTCCCGATTTGCCAAGCAATAGCAATGATGACCTTCTGTCTCTCTTTGAGAACAACTGAAACCATATGTATTCTCCCATCCCTTTCACTTGTTCACACTTGTGTGGCTGCACAGCGAGGAATCTTAACACTCCTTTTCCACAAGAGAAGAAAAAACACAACTTGATCCAATGGTGCACTCCCTGCTTTCTTCATCTCAGAACTGCTTTTGTCAGCTTCAAAGACTGCGAAAGTGATGGGAGAAAAAATAAATAAATGCAGTAATCTCCGAGTCTGCCATGCTACACGTGACAAAGAAGCATAGACAGTTGTGCAGCTATTGGAAGCCTCATTTGTTGTTCATCCTCTAGAGAGAGAGTTCTGTGATAAACATAGTGTGAAGTATCTTGGCAAAAATGAATCTTGGCAAGGGAAGAAAAGGCAACAAAAAGGAACCGTCTTTAATTGACCCGTCTCAGAGTGTCCTTCCAATGTGTGTTCTTCCATTTTTTTTTAACTGTATCTCCCTCCATCCCACCTCCCCTCTGCCCTTCTCCAGCCACAGGTTTGTGTTGGAGTGATCGTCCTGGCCACACACAAAAACCAAAAACGTGTACAAAGCTCAAAAAAGCACAACTCATACAGTCAAGTGGCAAAGATAGGGAAGACATACAGGCCTGTCAGAGGGAGACAGCAGTTTAGCTAATGCGACATCAGTAACAGATTCCTGAGAATCTCCAGGCTGCAGTTGTGGGTGTTGATATTTCTGCAGGTGCAGGAATCTTAACCACCTCTTTGTGGAGGATTCCTCTGGCCAACACACAGATTGGAAACACCTGGGAAAAATTAAAAAAATAATGCTTGCAATGTTGAGGGATTTTTTTTTTTGGTTTGTGTGGTTTTGGTTTCAAAGTACTGTTTGTGGCTGCATTAACATCCAGCTGTTAAGATTGCTGTAATAGATCTTTTTGCCATGTATGTCATATGGAATGGAAAAGAGAGGGAGGGGGGATGCAAACCAAACTGTTCCTGATTATTAACTACAGCCTTCGGTGCCCCGAGTGTTTGTGTCAATATCTGTACTGCACAATACATAGAAAGACAACCTGGGTTGAAGGCAGCCAGGAAATATTGCAGGATGGAGGGAGAGTAACTTCACTATCTGCATAATTATTTTAAATAATCAGCTTGAGAAGGGGCATTGACGTTGAACAGACATCTTACAGCTTCATTTTTGTTTTGCTTTGCATTCCGTTTTTGTGACTGGTACAGATAGTTCAGCCTTTTTCTTTTCTCCTCCTTCAGTTTCTTTTTTAAAACTTTGGCTGCTGGGATGAGCTCTTTCTCCTGAAGGACTGAGCATGGGGAGAATAAGTAACTGTCAGTAGATTGCTACTGCCCTCAAGAGACCCTGCTGCCACAATATGTCTTGCCTCTGTGATCTGTGCTTCTCATGTGGTTGCTGCTCCTGCATGAGCTTCCTATTGCTTCTGTGCCCATTTCTGTGCTCTTCGTCTCTCTCTCTCTTTCTCTCTCTTATAAATTATGTACAGTAGCTGTGTAAGAAGTGCATGTGTGCCAACTTTGCCCTTGTCATGCAACATTTCAGCTTTTGCCCACTGTAGTTACTGGTTTTGGGTTTTTTTGTTACTAAAGCAAATTTGCCTCTACTCCTTTTCCTCATCCCAAATCCAATCAAACACCCTTTGTTTGCTCACCGCAATACATTTTAAACTGAAGTGCCAGGCAAAATTTTGTTTGTTCCTGCCAGTTTGAGTAGATCGTTTCCTAGCCCTCTGTGTTTAGTTTGCAATGCTGTAAATGGCATGCTCTGTGCTTACGACTCTGGATTTGCTTTCCTCACCAAAGTCATGTTTGTAAATTCTTTGCAGTTTTTGTTTTATTTTGCTCTTTTTGTTAACGTTTCCCACTACTGCTGTACATGCGTCATGATATATATATGCTAGTCAGCAGCACCTTGCTGTAGATATTAAAGGAAACGGTGGTTTAGTTCTTTTATTTTTCAGTAGGAGTATTGAATCTGTCAAACATTATGTAGAGATGGTCCCACACTTATATTTTTCCTGTTTCAAGTTTTTTTTAAGAAAGGCGCTGTTCATTATGAAAAATCAATTATTTTAAGAATTGCTATTGTAAATATCTTTGTGAATATTTTAGTATCGTCTTTGATAATATTCCACATTTTCATGATCTGGTTATACTTTTGCTGGTGTTTTTAAATACCTTGTCTGAGGAAAAATATGGGTCCTTTTTTAAAAAAGAAAATTGAGGGTTCTTTAACAGAATAAGGGAATTGGTCCGTTGTAGGTCATCCGTCGTCGTCCCCCTCCCCATCCCCCCCCCCATTTTCTTTTGATAAATTAGCCCAAATTTCATATCCATTTATGTGATGAATTAATTGATACATCAGGCAGTACCTGGACAATCAGGGCCCAGTTCTGTCATGGAAACATAATAATAAGTGATTGTCTAGGGAAAAAAAAAACCCAACTAACCGACTGATGTTCATTGACTCTGTGTGATTATGGGCTGGTAATGGCAGAGATTTTGTCTGTTTGCCCAAGTGAGCAGAACACCTAGGACCAGCTGTCTGAACAGGTAAAGATGCACTAAGGCAAGCAGCAAGTATGTAAAGTACCATATTTATATCACTATATTGGTGCTCTGGTCTCTGCAGCTGGGACACGGTAACACTTAGGGATGTTGGTGGGTGGGGGAGGGAAACAGTATAGTATATTTTATTCTGCTTAGAAGTATCTTTTTTGTTATGTAGGCTTGACAACCTGTAGAGGATCTCTGCAGAATGTTAAAGAAACCTTGGTGTAATACATGGTAATATGGTTGTGGTGTGGTGCTGCTATCACACAATTCCTAAGAAAGACCGTTCTTCAGTTACAGATGTGGTTTGTAGCCATTTTACTGTAGTAGTTTCCCCCTGTATTTTTGCTGCGTTGTTTATATAGATATTGAAGTCATTTGCAGGGGTGGCTAATAATAAACAGACTTTATGCCCTTAGAGTTTGGGTTTTTTGTTGGAGGGGGGAATTTTCTTAAGCCCTAGATTTGGGAATAAAGATTTTCCACTATTAGTTGGAACTGGTTGCTCAGAGGTTTTTTTTTAATTGATTCTATTTAATGTTCTACCCTCCACTGATTCCTGAGCAGCTAAGTTAGTCACCTGAATTGATTTTTCTCTTAAACACATTAGTATTTTAAACCAGGTATGTTAAGGATTGACCTTTTGCTAACTGGTAGTATTTAAAATGTATCATTTAAAAGTACCTGTTGGAAAGAAGGGGAAAAAAAACCCATAGATATTAGCAATATGTTTGGAGCAGTGTTTGCATCTGCTTTGTACAGTAATAGAGAATTAAAATGGGCGGTTGACATTTTTAATCTTACAGAAACTCTTGGTTTCTAAGTAGAACTTAAGAGAGAAAATAAGATTTTTACCCATCACCCAAATGTTGGACATTTGAGACAGTTTTAAAACTTATCTGTCATCTAAAATCAGGTACTGTATAGTGGAGTTCGTATGAAAAAGCTTCTAAATGAAAATTTAGTTATTTTTTTATCTGTTCACTGCCATATTAAAGTTTAGAGAAGAAAGCCTAGCAAATAGGGTAATCACAGTCATTTCTTTTAAAGCTTAATTATTATATTAAATTCCAGTAGTATTTTTATTCTTTTTTTTTTTGTTTGTTTACTTTTTAATTGTTTCCCTATGGAAGTTCATCTGGGAAAGAACCCACAGAGATCTACAGTTCTGCTGCCAAGACATTATTATAGGACTGACAGATACACGCCAGTGTCTGCAGCGGAGACTCAAGGGACAGCTGTACATATGTAAATGACAAATAGAGACATGTTAACAGAAATGCATTCATTTTCCTTGGAATGTGCATTGTTTTTATTTCGCAGGAAAAAAAAAAAAAAGCTTGAAGCTCCATCTTATGTGGAAAATGAATCCTGTTTGTTAGCATTCGTGGAGTCTCGGCATTTGTTTCACTTTCACTTCTGTAATATACTCTGATCCTTCGTTTTGTTTTATCTACATGTAATATTTAGCTTACGTGTACTAGTCTATCACCTGTGTATTTTTAGGGTGCTACAGAAATAATGAAGAAAAATAAGGGGATTAAAAAAAATTGTAACCAAATTCAGACTTTCTACAATTTTTGATATCACGATCAGAGGAGAATTAAAAAAAAAAAAGTACAATCTGAAGTAACATGCAAAAATGGCCATTGTCTTTGTTTGTACATTGTATGTACAGTACAATGCAATCATTTCATACTTTAAACTGGTCAGAAAAAATAATTGTGATTTTTAGTCTTGCAAAACTGTATGTAGTTAGATGATGTGGAAACCTAATATTTATCTAATAAATATGTATTCAGATGAAACCTGTATATTAGGTGTTCATGTGGTTATTTTGTATTTAAAGATCAAATTATTTGACTATTGCTAGACATTTATATACTCTGTTGTAACACTGAAGTATTCTCATTTGCTCATGTTAATTTTTTTTTTCCTAAATAAATTTGCAAAATTAAGGTCTGGCTAATTGGCAGCTGCTTTGTAAATTCTGAGTTTCCTTTTGAAACTACCTACTTCCCCTTTGCCCTCCTGGTTTGTGTTACTGTGAAAGTCAGTTGCACAGGATGTACCTTGTGAGGGAGCAGGACTTGCTGCAGGAAGGGAAGAGCATGGTCCGCCCTGGAATACAGGCAGGATAAAAAGACTGTGAATGCAAGTTTACTGGTAGGCATGGGATCACACAGAGAAAAGGCCCTGCCAAGTGAGGTATCGGTGACTTGCCACTCAGTACATGAAGCACTGTGTATCATGTAAACAAGTAATTGCTTTGAAATGAAATCTTTGCATGATATGAGTAACAGGAAAGGAGGTGTTGGCACATGTGGAGGGAGTGAAATTAGTGACTTTGCAAGATGACTAAAATGAGATGTTTTTTTTGATTGATCTATCTTTAAAGTTGAAGGACTTTGTTTCAAAATGCAGCCTTTGAGTTACAAAGTCTGCTTAACTCATCTGCCTGTTTAACTGTAAACAGATGGAATTGTGATGCAAGGAATACACACGGAGTCGTATCAACAACAGCCGCTGCATGCACAGTTCCTGTCCCAGCAGAGTTCTATGCCTAACCTTAGCCCTGATCACAGCTGCCCATCACTTTGTGTCTGAGTATTTGTTTTTACAGAAAATTACTGAGTATATCTATATGGCATTTGAGTCTAAACCCACCTTTGAAATGCAAATACATAGGAACAACCTAACCATTTCACAATGTGAGTATCAATACAGGTATGTAATTAAGATACAGCAATTACTCCACAGCTCCACAAGGACACAAGTCCTTATTGTTGGTTGAGATACAAGTATATATACAGATGCATATATACTATATATACAATGAAATGTAGACTAGAGATTTGTTTTCTCAAAATTGGGGAAAATTAATTTGTTTCTGACTCAACTTCTGCCTTCCTTGCTGGCACTAACCACTAAAATGGGCTTTGGGATAACGAAATAAAACTGAGTTACAGTGCATTCAGTAGTGAAACAGAAAAAATATCCCTTCCAGCCAATAATTAATGACTATTTTGTTCTTGGTGTTCTGTTTCCCTGGAAGCTCCCAAGAAGCATCAGCAAGACACTGTGCAAACCCACTTTGGCACTGTACAAATGGAGAAAAGTATGAAGAGCTCAGGTGATGTCCTTAAGCGCTGTACTTTTTTCAAGCTTACTTTGAAGTCTGAGGAGGCTACAACAATTCTGAAAGTGGAGTTTCTCCCAGATGTCACCTGAGGACCCAGGATATGTATGATGTGTGTATCCCGCTGATGTTGGTGTCTCCCATCTCACATGCTGGGAGCGTGTTCTGTGCATTGTGCACTCTGTGTGTGCTTCCAGGTAGCGCCTACAGGAGTACCTGTCTGCGACTTCGCTGCTTATCAATTCACTTAGCAATTGTTGAGCAACTTCACAACACTTACTTCCCTACAATTTTTCTCTACTCTTCCTGATCGGTATGGATTTTGGAATCACACTGTTCGGTGGTGCACTTCGTATTCTGTTTCCATGCACTTTATCATGCCTTTTACAGGACCAAGAGACTGGAAACAATTAAAAACATGGAAGAAGGAACCCCCATTTGTTTTCTGCTTGGACAGTGGGGATGGGACTTCTCTGTGTAAATAGAGCTTGCTTTCCTTTAAAGAAGTAAGCTAGATAACATATAAAACAGTTGTACAATTCTCACCTAATAAGCTATATACAATGTTCTCATTTGTGTACTTAGTCTTTTATTTGTACATATATTTAACCAGAGCCCACTTCCCTCTTACCTGTGTAAATTCCAAGTCTGTATAAATCTTCCTGTATTGTGAACTTCCAGTCGTGAACCTTTATTTTTTACAGTTTGAATTATAACGAACATGTAACCTTATTACAGTTTTCCAGTTTCTGTGTCACTGAAATCCTGCTGACTCTATGTGGGGTATTACTCCTATTGTCTGTCCTTGTGTCAGTGCACTATTCACATTTGTTCTCTCTCAAAGGAACACAGCATTTTTCTTGTATCAGACAGACCTGTGAAATCTGCTGAGGTGTCTTGTATCTAGCAGTCTAGAGAATTTTCCAGGAGAATGTAAAAATAGTCGGCAAGGACCCTAATCAATTTCATTTGTAAAGCAAGCAGACAACAAAAACTTTATGACTCCTACAGGTGTTAGCAAACAGCATGGTACAGATGGATTTAACTGGTTTGTTTGCTACATAGTTCATCTGCATTTGCAGAAACTCCTCGCCTGAATCATAATAACTGGTTTTCTGCTATTGAAATCCTTCTGTTAAAAACCTTCTATTTTCTAAGTGTGTGGACTAGATGAGATTAAGCTCTTTCCCCTTTTTATTGAGTACGTCTGCTTGGTTTGTCCTGTATCTTTCCAATTACTGAACTCAGGTATTTTTTGATAGATACAGTTACACACAGTAGTTAGCTTCCCTACAAACACTAGTATCTACCGCTTTTATATACACTGGTTTCTCTACACTTCTTTGGCTTTATTAGACATTCTAAGCGGTTTGGAATTACCAATTCTGTTTTTGCCCTAGGTCAAAGTTTTGACCAATTACATTTTTAATTGAATCTTAAAAGCTAGACTTTCCTGTTTGTCCACAGTTGTTTCATGATACTGTTTTTTTGGACTTTGTTGAACTCTCTAGAACATTTAGCTTCATTTGTCACCTTGTTCACGGATCAGCACACAGAATATTATGAGCATGGAGACAGTTGTAAACTTTAATACTTTTTAACTAGTCAAACACCAGAAAAAGTTATTTTTTTTTTAATAGACTGATTTTAGGGGTGTATTCTTCTTTTTTTTTCTTCATTTGGTTTGAAAAAAATATTGAAATACTCCACACTCAATTAAATGCTGGAGTTGAAGTCTTATTAGCGTTTTAATGCATATTTAAATTGATTCAAGTTTTCACCAACTGTTCTTCCATTTTAAATTTATAATCAGTGCTCATTTTTCCTTGTTCTTTGCTTCTGTATTTCTCAGAATGTACATTTTGTACATTTTTAAGACATGCAGAAGTCAGTGAATTTTGGACATACCCATGTACCTGTCAGATTAGCTGTCCTAGTTAGTGACCAGTGAAAATACCCAGTTCATAAACTTAGGCAGAGTATGCTGCTTCACAAGAAATGCTATTTGGCTAGCAGTTTTCCTTTCTAAATTATGAATGATGCTCCCTCTGGGAAGGAGCATTACCTCTATATTCCACTATCAAACTGGTGGTAAAATGTGCAGTAGTGACACTGAGACAGAATCAAAAGTTAAGGAAACCTAGATTCTGAACTCCTCTGAAAGCTGATAGAAATTATTGACCCTAAGCTTTTAAGTATTTCAAAAATACTTAAAGTAAAATCCAAAAATTATGTTCTTCGATTGTAAATGTGACACACGTTAATTTACACTGACAACTTCTTAGCTCAGTTGGTGGGATATTGTGTATTCAGATGCTTGTCATGTGCCATGATGTCATATAAGTATGTTGTAACGTTCCATACTAGCTAATGCAGTAATGCTGATGTATGCTGATGGTAAGCAGTACTTTCAGTAGGGAAATGGCAAAAAAGCAGAAAGGAATCTGATAGATTCTGTATTGTGAGGTTGGTTCCAGCAGAATTGTTCATTAGAAAAACTGGTGGAATTTTTTTAGTCTTGTTACATCTGTGGACCTTTAATTTCTGGGTGATTCTTGTTCAAACTGCTGCTGACTATTTTTAGCTTTCAACTCCAGTTGTGAAGTGCAACTAAAAAACATGTCTCAGAACTATTATTGTTGGGATTAGTTTAACACAGACAGGATAATTCATTTTGTACAAGGTACAGAGGCAGATGTTACCTCAAAGCGTCATTGTTCAGAGTTAGACACAAGACAGATTCAAGGAAAACCCAAGGCTTTACCAGGCAGCTAACTAAAGCAGAGCTCTTGAGAAACAATGTAGAGAAGAAAGGTCATGAAGACATGACAATGTAAGGCAAATAATTGTGTAGAAAGCTGTTAAGTACTGGGGGGTGGTGTGGGGTGGTGTGTGTGTTAGATCAGAAAAGGGAACATACTGAACCAAAGACCCATGGAAAAAATAATTCCAAAAAATCAAGTACTATAGCAGGGATGAAGAATGAAAAACATATCTTTGGGAATAGGGGGTGCTGATGGTGATGTGCTGCAGGTCCCACACAGCCCTGTGCCTCTGTGAACACTGCAACCATTTCCCACTTGAGTTGCAAGTAAAAGTAACCTCTAAAATGCATCTGAACCTAGAATGTCGTATTACCATCCTGTCAGTCTTAAAATGCTAAATGTGTGCTGCTGTTCTCCTTCCTTTCACCTGGCTGCATTTTCTAGTGTTCTTGACAGTGATT